GAGATTTCGACATACGAATACTAAGTTTTACTACCTTTAAGTTTAGTAGTCTGTTTTGTTCAATAACATTAAATATTGAATTTATTAGTTGAGAATTTTTTAACATTTTTTTAAGACCCGATTTTATGATTCAAATTTAAACTTATGGATGTTCCAATATTTTGTTTATTAAATAATTTTATTGTTCCGTATTTTAAGTAAACGAAATTATTTTTGGTAACACCTCAAAATGTATGAAATTTTGAGGCGTTACAACTTGATATGAAAGCAAATGTTTTACTTTCCTACAAACTGAAAAAAAATGTGAACAGTAACATTGTTCACGTGAACACTACGTATCATTGTTCTCGTGAACAGTAACAAATTTTTTTTTCTTTTATTTTGAAGGATAAATGTTGGTTTAAAAATTTTGAATAATAGTAGTATAGAATTTAAATTTTTATGATTTAATACTCATAATTTAAGTTTCACGCGTGGTAAATTTTTATGTGTTTAGCTTTAACCTTCGGTGATGTTTTAAAAAAAAAAATTATTAGCAGTCTAAAAATTCACATTTTAAAAGATTTTATGATAGACTTATTGTTAGAGTTTTTTTCATTTGCGTAATTATAAAATTGAAAGGTTTTGTAAAAAAGATTTAAACTGTTTAAGAAGATATTGAGAATTAAGCGGTTCATTGTGACCCCCCTCTTCATTTGGAAGCCTTTTGATTGCGCGTTATTCAAATTAACGAGATGAAATACAGTATTTCAAATCCTTCAAAAAAAAAAAAATTAAAAAAATCTATTCTTAGAAACTTCTGTTTTGATAAAATCCTATTTTTAGAGATTAAAAAAAAATGCAGCATTTTTCATAAATACTATGAGTTTACGAAAAATGTAAAATTTAAAGTTTTAAATATACAATGTTATAAAGAATCCTTGGTACGTGACGCTTACCATTCAACTCTCTTTAATCGATCACAAGGTATGAAATGAAATGTCGTTCTTTTATCATGATTATGAGTTTTCTTGATTTATATTATGATATATTGTAATTATGTCAATAATCACGAATTTATAACTTTTCAATAGTTGATGCAATTTCGAGAACGAAAATTTTTTAAGGAATGAAGATTGTAACACCCCCAATATTTTAGAATAAAAAATTTATTNTTAAAGTGACTAGAAGTATATCAGTATGGATCTATTTGGATAGCTCGTAATTAATCATATAAATTAGACTAAAAAAAAATTAATTCGGATAAGTTAGTCTCAAGTTATTGAAGCTCAAAAAAATTGTAATTTATTTATTTATTTTTAAACCAAAGTAAATTAGGATGATGGTAGTCACGTGAATGGATGTGAGATAATTATTTTTTGGGTAATTGGTGCAAAACGTCCCTACCTTTGCATGTTTTTGTGCAAAACGTTCTTATCTTTCTTTTTTGGCTCAGAACGTCCCTACCTTTACCTTTTCTTGCGGAAAACGCCATTTTCGTCTCTTTTTGACCATTTTATCCTTCTATTAAAATAAAACAAATACAAAAGAAAAAAATAAAGAATAAATTGTATTTATGGGTTCAAACTTTTAAAAATGTGCAAATTAGTCACAAATATGAAAAAATTATCACCCACAAGCCACCACCTTTGAAAGCAAAATCCCCAACCTCCGATAACCTTGGCCGTCGGACCAACATACCACCTTGAATCCCTCATTGCCCTCTTCACAACCCAACCAACCAACAGCCCTAACTCTGGCAAATATGATTGGAATCGAGCTTCAAACTTCGCAGCATAAAATGAGGTCAAACACCGGAATCATGCCGTCCCGCCACCTTCCTGGTCGGAACATACCACCAGCCAACTCCCCTACTCAGGCCGACCTTGACCATGCAAACAATTTAGCCTAAACAACAAGGATAAGTTCTAAATTTCAAATGGAAAGATGCCCGTCGCGATTGTCGCGACACCGCACCAGTTTTCCTTCAATTCAGGCACCGTCATGACGACCCATGGTGGCAGAACACCTGGGTTGGGTGCGCCATCACCTAGCGCACCTAACCTAGCCATGGGTCCCCTTCAATTTGGCTCTAATCATCTTCAATCTGGGTCTGAAATGTTCGTTGGTGCAAACTCGAGACTAGACTGTCTTTGCTTTGAAATTGGTGGTTGTTGGTTGCTTGTTGGAGGAAATTGTTTACATAGGTAGTTTCGACTTGATGAGGGGAGTCGACCACTGGTGGATTCCGATTGCTTGGGTGGCCGGACGACGAAATTGGTGGTTGTTGGTTGCTTGTTTGAGGAAATTGTTTATATAGGTAGCTTAGATTTGATGAGGGGAGTCGACAGTGTTGGATTCTGGCCGGTTGGGTGGCCGGACGGCGAGTTGTGGGTGTTTGACCGATTTTCATGCTGCAATTTTTGAATTTGATTTTATGCCAAATTACAATGAGTTACGAGGATTTCTTGGTATGTATTTGTAGAAGGTAATGAGGAGAACATATTGGGACCAATGTCCGACGGTTTGAGAGGCCAGAAGTCATCGGAAAATGAGCTCATGTATTCGGCTGAAAAGGGGTTAGAGAGATTTTTTTGTTCTTTTTGATATTTTTATAAGTTTTGGATTGATTTGTATTTTTTAGAATGTTGAGGAGTAAGATTGCAATTTATTCTGGATTTTTCTTTTCTTTTCTATTTTGTTTTATTTATATAGGTGGGTATATTAGTCATTTTATGTTAAAAATTGGTCAAAATGATTTTTTGGCAAAGAATGTGAAAGATAGAGACGTTCTGAGCCAAAAAAATGAAAGGTAAGGATGTTTTGCACAAAAACGTGCAAAGGTAGAGACGTTTTGCGCCAATTACCTTTTTTTTTTTTTTAAAAGAATTCTATTTAAAGTCAAGTTGACATCACTATCACGCATATGATTATAAACACCTTTTTGTTGTGATAAATATTTTGTAGGCATGTCACCTTGTGAATGGTTTACTAGAAATTCAATTTTTATCAATTGGATAGACATGATTTTTCATCGCAATTATACTATGACTAAACTATTATTTTTTATAAATAGTGTGTCAATGTCCCACAATTCACTATCGCAGAATTTTACACAACAATTTTCATATAAAAGAACTGTAAATTCTAAGTATATTTTTATTATAAAAAACTCGTTTGATCAAATACTTTTTGTGCAAGTTGTTTGTTTCCTTATACTTTTATGTTCAGTAATTTATGCATGAATTGTCGTGGACATTCGGGTTCGACCTAACATAATGTGAACTCTTTTGGGTACTTTATAATGAAATTTGAAATCTTTCGAGAATTCAAAATGAGAAATAATGGGTATTCGCTTGGTCACCGATATACTACATAAAGAGAAATGTGGTATGAATTATCTACGTTATTGTTGTATAAGTGCATATGGAAACTGCACGTATCTTACTGGGTGTTTTTAAAATACTCACTCGTACAAATTTTTTACAGGCTAGATCGGGTCGGTTGGAGATGTGGCGGGATAGTACAGCGGACTACCAAGAAATTTCGACATACGAAAATATTAAGTTTTACTGCCTTTAAATTTAGTAGTTTGTTTTGTTCAATAACATTAAATATTGAATTTATTAGTTGAGAATGTTTAAATATTTTTTAAAGACCTGATTTTATGATTCAAATTTAAACTTATGGATGTTCCAATATTTTGTTTATTAAAAAATTTTATCGTTCCGTATTTTAAGTAAACGAAATTATTTTTGGTAACACCTGAAAATGTATGAAATTATGGGGCGTTACAATCCCAAAAGGTGATGTCTGAAACACGGTAGCTTTTGTGGGAGTGGAGGAGGAAGAGTTGAACTCAGTTGAAGGAGCTTGAATTCTAGACTCAGTGTTAGCCATTTGTGCTCTGATACCAAGTGAAAATATTGAAGATTCTTTGTAAATTTCCAGCTCCATGATCTCCTATTTTCATTCACCTTATATAGACTATTACAAGAGGTACAAGTGGAATTCTTGTTGAGCCATAGTATAGCAGCGGCTATGAACTTGAGCTGCCAAATGACTGATTAATCCTAACAGGGATGGGGTGGCTCTACGAAGGTATTATAGTCTAACTTTTTATTTCCTGCTTTAAGGCCTTGCCAAGTTTCACTTATGCAATTTCTTTCATGTTTTGATGGATTAACTGCAGAAAACTCTGTTAAATTGAAAATAGTTCGTAATTTTACGCCTTTATAGCTATTCTCGGTGGACCTCATGACTGCAGCTACAATTAGGTTCTACAATAACTTGCCTATGAATATTGCAAAGTTGGAAATGGAAAAACTGCAGTTGTGGCGAGCAGCTTAGAGAAAAACCGAAGGTGAGAGTAAGAGACAAGAAGAGAATTTGGGAGAGAGAGAGACTTCTCTTCAAGTAAGGGCATGTTAAAATGTGTGAGCTATACCTTGGTCTGTGCTGTTTGTCTGCCTTTCTCTATCTAGTAGTGGAATAGAAACCCTATCTCTCTTTGAGTTTTTATTTTTATTTATTTTGAAGTATGAACAGTTTTGTAATCCAGCCACTTCACAATCTTCAAATCAAAAATTTGCTCCTATACAAGAGATCGGCCCCGAAGCAAGTCTAGAAAAAGTTCGGTCACTTGCTAGCTTTCATCAGACCAGCAGCTGGTGCCTCCTGACTTTCAATATTTCTAGTGAAACATCTTTCAGAGAGATGGTTTAGGTTGTCATCAATTTGTTATAAACAGAGTCCATTAGTGGACATCATCATAAGAGATAATATAAGATAGTCTTTTCTATAGTCCATTAATGATTTTCAATATAAAGTGTAATGAAGATTTAATCGTCAAGTAAAAACTCAAATAACTGATAAAATATTTAGACCAGACGAAGGAATTGAGTGGAAACATTTATATTGAATGGTGAGAGTATATGTACATGCTATATCCATTAAAATGGTCAGATATTACTTTTGAGAGTATAATTGACAAAAGTGAACGTACAGTCTTCTATCAATAGTCAAACTGCATTCCTGCTATTTTTTATGTCGACAAAGGATGCCCTTGTAATCTGTACAGTTAGATGAGGATTCTTGAGTGCAAATGCATCAAATCTGGAAGAGAAAACTATTTCTTCCATGTTTCTAACAATAAAGTTCAAGGAAGTCTCCTTTAAGGATTGGTTTGAACAAGTATCTGATATCTCTAGAATATCAAGAGCATTGAATGAGTTCAAGGATCCAAGCATTTGATGCTCACAATATTTTTGAAGAAATGGGATTTCATACTTGTCTGCCGCAACTGACAAAGAATAAACATGTTTTTCCACCTTTTCTTTGGGCAAATGTCCACTGTATAAGAACTCCAACAAAGACTCTAACTCCTCATAGTTCAGTTCAGGAAGTGTTATTGTGTCATTTGGTGGAGCTTTACATCCATCGGAATCCAGTATGTTTCTGAAAATACTAGATCTTGCTGCCTGTAAAACATGATATTGCATTCATATGAATAACAAAGACGTGTACTCACACTTGGACAGCACGTTGTGCCTTTGGCTCTAGTAGCATTTTCATAACAAAAATTTGGAATTCCGATTTAGTATCGATTTCAGTTTCAGCTCAGCACTAGTTACACTTTCAAAAGAATACTGAGAATTGTAACAGAACATGTGCACAATTTTCACTAATTAGGTAATAGGGAGCCTTGAACTCAAGACCTCTACTGTGTTGAACCACCTCACATAAAATAAGCTGTTAGGAATGAGAAACGTTTATGTATTTAAATTTTTTCTTCAACATATTTATCATTGTTAATCCTAATTGCTTATATTTTCATTCCAACCGTCTATCATGTGAACGAAGAATTGAGTAGCTCTCTTTTTTCTTTTGTTTTTGGGGGTGGGGAGTGGGATGACTGCTGTTGCTTACATACCAATAATGCTTTGTGTGCAGGTATCGAGGGTCCATCGTCTCCAGGCTTGACTTGAATATCAGTGTGAATTTCATCCCTAAATGCAGCAGCAAATTCACTTAGAAAGCTTATTTTCTCGATTAACTCCTCTTCTAGTTCCTTCATCTCCTTCATCCATTTCAAAGCATTTGCAAATCCCTGAGAACATCATTAACAATATTCACTTGTTAGACAATTATCTTCCTGAGATTATTCTGCTTTTGTTGCCTACCAATTATCACTTTATCCAGCGAGCACACGAGAACACGAATCTAGATATGGAGTGAAAGCAATAACTGTATTGTAGAAGCTTACAAGATTCTATGAATCGGGTTTCTCCTTTCCAGGAAAGACTTTTTTGAGCAAGCTTTGCCAAATACAGAAAATGCTTATTTTACAAAATAAGGTAAATTTTTTATTTAATTCGTATCGCTTCTTGTGAAGTAGCATGTGTTGAAAAAAATCCCTAGTAGTAGAAGGGGAAAACAGGGGTCTGGGATTGGTCCATTCATTTGTCCCACATCGACAGGAAGTCTAATGGATGATGAGCCAGTGAGTTATAAAAATGGAAGGTTGGACAACTGGCTCCATACTTACCTGGACGGGGTCAATGGGCGATCATGAAGGCCCATGGCCTAGATTGGCGACCTCCATTGCACTCTGGAGGGGCGCCCGTCTAAGGTCGGCCCAAGTGGTCGAGCCTACGTCATAATTTGTGGTAGAGGGGGCCTGCGTTCGCGCGGCCCCTGCCCAATTCAAGTTCAAAGGTTTATGCCCATTGGCTCCTCCCTACCCAATTCAAGTTCAGCCCATTGATTAACCTAAGCCCGTAGCGGCTGGCCCAAATGAAGTTCAATTTTTTAAGCTATGTCCTTATTTGGGCTTGGTTTTGGTTAATTTTTCTACACATTTCCAATAAATTGAGTATGTGTGTAATTATCTTAATTGTTATATAGTTTCATAGTAGCTTCCTTGGGATTATGCTGTTATTTTCTTGCTGTTAGTTTCATGGTACCAATTGATTTTTTGTATGCATGACTTGTAGATAAACTTTGTGACTGATATAAATGAATGTGTGGAACTTTTGTATTACAAAAATGGAGTCATTCAGCGTAGAATGGCGATTCATGGTTCAACCGTCGTTAGAATTGCTAAAAATTCAATAAAAAAAAAAAGCAGCAGCAGCAGAAGAATTACGAGGATTGCATAATTCACTTTTCAATGGCATCAGAATTTTATGGTTCCACTATGAACAATCAATATACCTGAGAACCATCGTACCTTAGTGGAATTAGACGAGGAAACCGAATTGTTACTTGGTTTTTCTGTTCCCTTCTCGTTGTCGAGTCTGTTTGTGAAGGTGATTATACTTCTGGCTCCCTCGTAGCAAGCTCCGCATATTGTGTTTCTTGGAGGCCTTAGAATATATGGCATCGCGCTGCAGATAGAGCAGTCCATCTTTCTTTGCACAGCCTTCACAAAACACGACGAACAAGAAGAATAAGATGATGAAGAAGAAGAAATTAGAAGAGGAGGTGGTTTTCTGTTCTCTTGTCAATTCATTGCATTCTGTTCTTTCTGATTATACTTTGCCATATGATTTTTTTAATACTTAGTGCCATAAGCACAATAATTGCTTTCATTATGTTTGATGATAATATTTATTGATTAAAAAAGACTCATCTTTATTTAGTAACTAGCCGTGGGGTCATATTCTGTATTCTCATGTTGTGTGAAATGACAAAACTAGTGTTGTTATCGAGGGTAAATTTGTCAATGTATTGCAGCTTTTCTATGATTGGTTGGCCATGTCTTTTGGGTTGGTTTAGAGGGCCACCAGAACAATAAGAAAATTGAGAAAAAAGAATAAAAGTTAGGAAGTGGAAAACGACTTTCCAACCTTACGACAGCAAAAATGTGTCAAGGCAAAGCACGTTTTAAGAGCCAATACAGTTCTAAGGAAGCCAAAATATTGATAAAAATAGCCTTCTTGTCCAACCTGGCCAACTAGCATTTTCTGATTAAATCTTATATTTTTCAAGAATTATATGATTACTGATTAGGATATCTGGCCAGACAAATGATTGTTAATTGCATTGTTTATTACACAATATGTAATTATTTATTGGTTCTGGCTAATACATGCTGCATCATTATTGCATAAATTTCAAGCAATTACGGCATATGTTATTCATAGTGAGTACTATCGATAGTCATCATACATGGCATACATATGAAAATTTATTATTTGACACATTAATGTGTTAATTTTTTTTTATAGTCTCATGTATCAAATAACAAACTACCATATGTATGACAGTAAAACGACTATCGGTAGTATTCACTATGAATAGTGTTACACGGGACTTATTTGACCCCATTAAATTGAAAAAATGCATTTTTAAATAGTATATTGATAGAGATTGTATGGTTAAAAAATAAGGAAATTTTTTTAATTTGTGTGTAATGTTATTTTATTAAAAAAACGTGGTTAAAAAAACAAAAGAGAATGTATTTTTGGGAAAATGAGAATCAAGCAAGGCCTCTATATTTAAGTATAGATTGCTCTTGAAAGACTTGTCCTTTGGGTTTATAAATCCTTTCATAGGGTGTGGAATTTTGATTGTTACAGCTGACAAGAGTGGAGTTCTAGAGAATTTTAGGGTACATTTAATTTGCTATTTTTTTTATTATTTTTTTTACAGACCATTCAAAACTTTTTTGGTTTAATATTTTCGAAAGTATATTTTCGAAACTTATAACATAAAATTCGAAATACATATTTAATGTTTTTAGTGAAAACTTTGAAATCACTCAAAACATGAAAACAAGCATTTGAATAAAATTTTATTTACATATAATTCTAAAAAAGTAAACTACAAAATTTTGATAAGTTCTAAAAACTAAAAAATAAATTTTTTGAAAAAATAAATAAATTATAAAATTATAAAAAAATAAAATTCTCTGATTTTTTTTCAAGATCTAAAAACATAGTTTAGTTTTTAATGGTTATTTCCAAAAAATTTAAAAATACATATTTAAATGAGCACGTATGAAAATTATCAATCCACGTCATCATTGTCGAATCAAGCATCCGGTGGCGTGGCCAGCCATACTAGATCCACCGAAATTTACAAGTTGGATTTGGAGGGAGGTTGTGTTGCAGACTTGCAGTCGCCATTGTTGTAAGGGAAGCTTGGAGGGAGGAAGATAAGTATTACTTGGGCCAATTTTTTTTTTTTTTTTAAAAAGAAAAAATTGTGGGCCATTTGTTTTGGACCTTTTTTTTTAATTAGGCTCGTGTTACAAAAAGAAAATAGTGAGAGAAATGGAGGAAACTTCTATTCTGTATTATTCAGAATCATCTCACGAAATTACACAGAGTAAGACTCTTATATAGAGAGCCAAAAAAAAATACAAAATGAATTGGAAGAAAATACAGCTGTAACAAACTTGCCAATTCATCAAAACAACTCCTTAGTAACTAACACATGCCAACTCAACAGAAACTAACAAACTTAATTTCTAATACTCCCCCTCAAGATGGACTATAGATGTTAACAAGTTCCATCTTGCCAATAAGTTCTCTAAACTGAGAAGGATGAAGCGCATTTGTAAAAATATCAGCAAGTTGGTTTGAACTTGAAAGATGCAAAGTTTTTAGTATCCCTGCTTGTATCTTCTCACGAATTAGCTGACATTCAATTTCTATATATTTAGTTCTCTTATGAAAAACGGGATTCAATGCTATATGAAGAGCTGCTTGATTATCACAATATAACAAAGCTGGCTTAGAATGATTTACCCCAGACTCCTTTAACAAGAAAAGTAACCAAGTCACCTCACATGTTGCATTTGCCATAGATTGATATTCTGCTTCAGTAGAGGAACGAGATACTGTCATTTGCTTCTTAGACTTCCAAGAGATCAAGGACTCTCCTAAAAACACGAAAAAACCAGAAATCGATCGTCTTGTATCAGGGCATGATGCCCAATATGCATCACTGAATACTTTAAGTTGAACATCAGGTAATCCAAGGAATTGAGTCTTAGCAAAAGCTCTCAATTGGACTGCTAAACTAGAAGGAAAGAAAAGTCCTTGACCAAGGGTACCCTTGACATATTGTAAAATTCTCTGTGCAGCTTGAAAGTGAGGCAACATTGGCTTAGATAAAAACTGACTTAATTTGTTTACAGCATAAGATAAATCTGGCCTAGTAATAGTTAAGTAAAGTAGCTTCCCAATCAATCTTCTATAGAGAGTAGGATCTGAAAACTCTTCTCCATCTTCTTGACTAAGTTTAACATTCACTTCCATAGAAGTAGCAACTAGTTTGCAACCCAAAAAACCAGTATCTGCCAAGATCTGCAAAGCATATGGTCTTTGTGAAATTGAAATGCCTATTCCAGTTCTAGCACCTCTAGCCCAAGAAATAAACTCAATGGACCAAAATCTTTTAGTTTAAACTTAGCATCCAAATTGGATTTCAAATTCAAAACAGCAAGTTCATCATTACTTGCTATTATAATGTCATCTACATACACAATGAGAGCAATAAAAACTCCCCCTTTCCTCTAAATGAAAAGAGAATGATCGGTTGCTGATTAACAAAAGCCTTTTTCAATTAAAACACTTGAGAACTTGGCATACCATTGCCGTGATGCTTGCTTCAATCCACACAAGGATTTATTGAGTTTGCAAACTACATTAGAAGGCAATCTTGTCTTCCCCTTAGGACTATATCCTTCGGGTATAGTCATATAAACCTCTTCAGCCAATTCACCATGAAAAAATGCATTATGTACATTTAATTGATGTAAAGACCATCCATGAATAGCGGCCAAGGCAAATAAAAGCTTGACAGTCACCAACTTTACTACATGAGCTAAGGTATCAAAGTAATCCACCCCCTTCCTGTTGAGTATATCCCTTAGCCACCAAACAAGTCTTGTATCTTTCAATCATACTATCTACCTTGATCTTAATTTTGTAGACCCATTTACAACCAATATCATGAAAACCAGGAGGCAAAGAAACAATAGTCCATGTATGATTCTGTGCCAAAGCTTGTAATTTCTCTGACATAACACAATCCCATTCAGGTATGCCATGAGCTTGTGAAAATGTAGTAGGTTCATGAAAGCTAGAAATGGACATGACAGCAGCCTTAAAATTTCCTTTCAATCTCTCATAAGCAAGAAAATTCGAGAGAGGATGAGAAGTAGAAGAAACAGAAGTAGTATGGGACAAAGAACCACAATGATAATCCTGTAGGTAACTTGGCTTCTTAACATTACGTGTGGGACAAGAAGAAACATAAAGATTATCAGAAGCTGTAGAAAAAGGTAAAAATCTCTCATGTTGTGAAGAGAATGAAGTAGTTTGAGAATCCATATCAATAACAGGCAGAGGAACACAATTCGAGGGAAAAAATCAGCAATATCAGTAGAGGAAGCTTTAGAAGCCAGAGGAAAAATATTCTCATGAAAAACAACATCCCGAGAAATAACAACTTTATTAGATTCCAAATCTAAAAGTTTGTAGGCTTTCATTCCAAAGGGATATCCAATAAACACACAGGCTCGCGATCTAGCAGAGAACTTGTCCCTTTTACTTAATAAAGTAGAGACATAGCAAAAACAACCAAATGTCTTTAAGTGCAAATAAGAAGGAGCCTTTTGATATAAAACCTCAAATGAAGTCTTTTGATGTAAAATTGAGGAATGAATTCGATTAATTAGGTGTGCAGTAGTAACAGTGTCAGTCCAGTAAATTAAAGATAAGCCTGATTCGAAGAAAAGTGCCCGAGCAACATTTAACAGGTGTTGATGCTTTCTTTCCACAACCGAGTTTTGTTGAGGTCTCTCAACACAAGAGTGATAGTGTATGACACCCTTGGATTGATAATAGAGAGTAAGAATCAGTTCTTTTGCATTATCAGAACAAACACCTTTGATATCCATCCGAAATTGTGTCTTAATCATGGCAAAAAAATCCGGAATAACTATCTGAAAATCAACTTTCGAATGTAAGAGATACACCCATGTATACCTTGAACAGTCATCTACAATTGTCAAAAAATATTTGTATCCTTCAACAAAAATAGTATGAAAGGGACCCCAAATATCAACATAAATCAAATCAAAACAGGAAACAGCTCTATGATTATTGGAAACAAAAGGAAGTCGTCTTTGTTTGGCAAGAGGACACACTTCACAATGAAAAGGTTTATCTCGAGTATTATGAAAACAAGGAATCTTAAATGGCTATTGAGAAACATTACAAGCAGGATGACCAAGGCGATAATGCCGTAAAAGGTCAGTAGATACAGGAGAAACAATATTACATGAGCTAACATAAGCTTTCTTATTCTCAGGAAAAGTGAGGTAGTACAGATTGCCAACTCTATTACCCATCCTAATCCTCAGGCCTTGCATAGTGTCCTGAATAAAACAAT